GTACACGGGAAAAACTCCAGGTATTTCACGAGATTTTGCTTGATAATGTATCTAGTACACTTCCTACGTTCACATCGATCTTGTGTCGCCATCTATAAGCCATTTTAGTTACATACCATCAAGATCAATGGAGACAAGGTTACTTAATTATATGCATTTATAACTTCTTTCGTCTATCTACCAGATATGCCACCAAACGCTCCTTTCTGTCAGCATACCCGCTTCTCCTTCCCTTTCCCACGCCGTCTCTTCTTGGTATCACCGGCAACTCGCAACCAAAATCCACCAACAACTATTATTGCTGCGTCTTCCTCCTCCATCCACCCGACTAGAAACTATCCTACAAAGACACGCAGCAGCGGCAACCGACTCCACGCACTAGCACCTCAAGCTCGGCAAAGACAGAGGCAAAGGACAACAATTGCACCGCAGGCCATCCGTTCCATTCCGTGATCCAACAATAAGGGAGAAGAGCTACATATCTCCCAGAAAGGAAAGAGAAAAGAAAAAGAGAAAAAATGTGACAAAGGAAAAGCAGGAGCGACTCGACGCCCTATAGTAACGGGCGGCGGCTCATGGTATCATGCATTCGCGACGCAAGGGAGCGACAAAGGAAAGGTCCGGTGGATTGCCAGACGGTATGCAAAAGGCGTTGTATGAGAAGTTATGGTGAAATGACGAGTTCGGTACAGATTCGTTAACCAGTTTAGCCGACCCTGATAGTGGTCTCTAATGGCGTGCGCGGTAGATCTTTGTCCAAAGAGGCTCTGGGTATACCTCCCCTCTTGTCCTCCTTCGGTGGTGTGGGTGGTCCAGAGTGCCTGTTGGGCATGTATTCGGCGTCCTTTGCCGGTGTAGGCGGGCGCCCATCGCTACTCGCGGTGCCAGAGTCCTTCGGCGGTGTAGGCGGCGGCCTTCCCTGTGCATGATCCCTTTCCCTGGATGTAGACCTGGCTCTGGCTTCAAGTCGTGGAGGGCCGAGGTAGGGCGCTCCTGTGGGTGGTGGTAATGATGACTTCTCGCTACTCGTATTGGCAGCATGGCGATCTGAGGCACTCCGGTTGCTGTGCCCGCCAACACTTGAAGATTCACCGGCCTCTTCCACCACAGGCAGAGTGGTCCCAATCTCTCCTCTTTCCGCCGACGGACTACGTACTGCCCTCAAGTGTAGATTCGGTACGTTTTCTTCACCATGACCTTGTCGCCGCGAGCGGTCGGCTTGATGCTCGGCCTTCTCCAGGACACGGTCGGTCGACGATCGCTGCGCAGCAGTCGCATTGACACCGTCAAGCGAGAGTTCGTTGAGATCGTTTGTGGCCTCTTCCATCTTCTCACGCTCGGCCGCTTCTCTAGTCTTGGTGACACCGCTGATGAACTTGATGAATCGATCGCCGTATCGCTCGGGCGGTATAGCAGATATTTGAGACTCGGTATTAGCAATGCCTTTAATAAAGTGCTCCATACGTTTGATGAAAGAGTACTGGAGCATAATTAGTATTTGGCGAGGCCTACGCGCTGTACGCTGTACGCTGCAAACTTACGTGTGTCAGACAGTCGATAATGCCAAGGTAGTATATCTCCTCTCCGGGGGTTTCGTCCTCGTGAGTGGCTCGGAAGCCACCATCGTCAGAATAGAAGTAGAAGTTCCGGTTAGGATCTTCCAACTCATTCGGCATCTTGCTAGACGTCTGACCCATGGGTACTGGTTTCTGTGTCTTGACCATCTGCCTCAGTTCCCTTGCTTTCCGAGCACTCTCCAACTTCGAAGGCGTCCGCATAAGCTGATTCGGTTGGGGCTCTGGTGCCTCCTCTCCACCTGGTGAAAAGACCTTGAGTGTCTTGTCTCGCAGGTTCTCCTCGTTACCCTTTTCCAGGTCGTGGATACCAATGAGGAGTGAGTAGTCCATTATGTGTAAGCGCTGCAGCAACTTGACGTCTCTTTGCATCTGCTCGATGAACATCTTCTTCTTGGACGGCCCTAACTCAAGATGCTGGTTTCTGCGTAACCAATTGAGGTCCTTCAGTGTCGCGCGGGGGTTGGTTGCCAAGTTCTCTTCCTTAAAGTCTCGCCCAATGGTAGAGCCCTTGAGGTCGAATGTGCTGTGGATGTCTCGATGCGGGGGAAACAGGTTGTTCATGACGACGAAGTGGATTTTGCGTCCATAGGGTATCTTTACGCGATGCAGGCCGTAAAACTGGGAAAGAAGAGTGTTTGGGTTCTCTTGCACGTGGTTGTAGTAGTCCTTGAGAATCTTGCGGAGGAACTTGTGTTCGGCGTGATGGATGGTTTTGATAATGTACTTGTAGTCGCGCGAGAAATAGAAGAAGCTGCCACTCTTGCCGGGAGAGCCGAGCTCGGAAAGGATGTATTTGCTGGTCAGCGACACGAGATAATCGGCAGGGTCGAGCTTGAAGGTAGTGCGGAGATGGCGGAAGACCCATGGTGCATAGTCCTTGAACTTGAAGTCGTATTTGGCGGAAGGAGTAAGCTCGTTACCAGTTCTGTCAAAGTGTCAGTATTGTGCGAATGAGCAAAGATCAGAGGTCTGCCAGACGAAGTGGAGATGAACTCTAGCAGGTGCTTGATGTTGCAAGGAAAGCCGGCCGGCACGTACATGTCAAACGAGAACTTGTGCTTCGCGTCAAAGTCGGCATCAGTGAGATCTCGGTCCATCTTGGCGTTGGTTCGCGAGACGGTGAAGCGGATACCCGTCAACATGTTGTATGCTGTGACCCAGTTGACGTGGTTCTGGTCGACCTTGGTGCCTACCACGACGCGGTCTTCGTCTTCGTCCTCCTTGCGCTTCCGCTTGCTTGCTCGCTTCTGGCGGATGTGCTCAGCCCAGCGCGCGGCCTCATCGTCCTGGGGCACCTCGTCGAGATGCATGTCGGAATTGACGGAGCGTGTGGTCCGACGCACAAGCGACATGGAGCCTCTCCGTTTGTGCGGTGTGGAAGGCGAGAAGCGTCCACTAGCGCTGATGACGTCGTCGGTGTTGTTCTGGGGTTCGCGGGCGCGCGATGTTTGCAGCTTGGGGACCTCGAGGGTATGACGTTGCTGCAGACGATGAGGTTGTTGAGAGGGGCCGGGGTTGTTGTGGTTGAAGGCAGGTGGGGAGGAGACGCGATGCGCTTGGCTCGGTACCTGCAGACTGGACGTGCCCTCGTCGGGTTGGGGCTGCGGCGACGGCGAGGTGGGAGGATGGGAGACGGAGCCGACGTGCGGAACATAGAAGTCCCTGCTTGCTTCTTTGGTGCCGTCCTGAGCATCCATCTGGCCGAGCTCGACGTGCGTGGTGCTGCCACAGAGGCGGTCCTTGGTCTTGCTGCTGTGTATCGAGGCGAAGTAGCCGTCGTCTCTGCTCGGGCGCTCGCTCGACTGCCTCTGCGTGTCGAGCGACTTGGTGTTGGAGCTGTCGGCGTCCATGTAGTCTCCTCTGCTCCGGGCATGACGTGCGTCGTCCTGGGACAGGCGCTTGTCGATGCTCGCGGGCCTGGCCGGGCGGCCGTTTGCCATGGGCTGCATTCCATTGGCCATCTTCCCGTTCATCGCGGCAGCGGTGCCATTGGGGGGCGAGCGGTCCGAGGGCGAGCGCGCGGGGGGAGGCGGTGATGTTTGAGCATGTGCAAAGGAAGAGCGGTCGGTTGCTTCGGCGCCATACGAGGGCATCATCTGCGACTCATGGATGGTTACGCTCATCAAAGAGGCAGCCTTTCCCGAGCGCTGCGGAGGAGGGGTCGGCGGAGCGTGAGAAGCCAGTGTGTGCGTGCGACGTGTGGCTGGTGAAGGTCGGGTTGGGCGTCGTCCGGGGGATTGCGTAGTGCAGCGCCGGCAGAGACTAGGTACCAGAGCGGAGCAGAGCAGAGCAGAGCAGAGCAGCACTGGGCGGAGGCAGCGGCGGGGCGGCAGGCGCTGGAGCAATGGGGGTCGTGATAAGAAAAACGGCGGGCGCAAGAATGGGCGTGGGTGTGTCGGCGGCCAGGAGTCGAGTCGAGCTGTGATGCTCAATAGTTGGCCCTTCGCTCAGCCCTTTGCTCGCCGGGCGCGATCCGACTTCCGTCTTGCGCTAGCCTTGGCAGGTGGACAGTGCCTTATTGCGCGCTGCGAAGCCACCAGCAACATGACCACGGGCCCGGCTCCTGCTGCATCACGGCAGTTTCAATGCAGTCGGACATGCTGGGCCCCATTCACCACTGCATTGCGCTGCTTTCCACGCCCCAAAGGCCCCATCGCTGCGGTACTTGGACATGTTGTCTGCGTTGCGCGCGCCCGTAGAGGGAGATTGCGCGTCTGGATTAAGAACAGGCGGCATGCATCCCTCAGCCACACCAATAGTCCCAGCAGCCCGGGTGCGGCGTCATGCTGTGGCTCGCAATCACCCTATTCTTAACCATGGCGTGCCAAACTGAAGGTTATTTTCTACACCAAGCTGCACCTTGCTATTGCTATTGCTATGCAGTCCCCATCCATGCAGCCCACGTTGTCGCCCCGAGCACCGGACAACAGAGGAGGCGAGCCGGCCTTGCCCTGCGCCGCACGTCTGTCTTCGGCTCTATTTAGCTCCAGCTCCACTCCCAATCTCCTGGCTAACCCAGCCCTGTTTTCGTCCGCCCATCACAGAATGCGCAACACCTGGGCGACCAAGTAAGGGTCCAGTGCTCCATCAAATACATGTCCTCCCCGCAATGTCCAGGCGTAGACACATCTGACCAGTCTGGAACATCCTCACACTCGACAGTGCATCTCTGTTGAGCAGTGCGCACTCGGGGCCAACATTGAAGATCCGCGCTCTCCACGCTAGCCATCTTTGGCTTCCCTTTATGTGCCCTGCACGCCAACATATATACCCATGCTTCAGCATGCGACTCCAGTAATGGCGAGTTCAAAGTCCTTGTCGCACCTGAGACGACATGGAGACTGCCAAATCTCAAAACACCCTTATCGCGCAGTCGGTGTATGGCTGGGAGGACTTGGTAGATAGGCAGTAACCGCGCTGTCTTCATCCCACAGCAATCCGATGCTTGTCGCCGGCCCTCAGCGAACAGACTTCGGTATTTGGCAGCGTCTTCCTGATGACACCCTCTTCCACCATCTTCTTCACTTCGTCAACCGCGTGCTGTGCAATCTGAGTCAACTTGACGGCCCAGCCCCGATTGTCCTTGTCTGCATCATGGGCAGATATCCAGGCTTTGGCATACAGACTCTTGGCGATCTCTGTGCCACCGGGACTGCCAGCTGATATGTTACCTCCAAGCCACCAAGGGTTCTCAACGCAGTCAAAAGAATGTAGAAGCGCTGTGAGGGGAAGCGCGGATTCCGATACAAGGTAGGAGCTTGCGTAGGGACGAATCACGTCGTACGAAACACCGTGAGGTGAGTAAATGACAGACAAGGTCTTCTCTCGATCGTTGTTTGGTGACGGCACCAACGTACGGGGCGATGAGGCGATTGTCATTGGCGATCCTGGAGAGGGGGGCGGGCTCATAGGCAGGTTGATGTAGTGCATTGGGCTTAGCGACGAGAGTACTGTGCAAGGAGGCCGATATGTTATCCCGATCGCGTGATGTACCTTGGAAAGGTCCCGCTTGGCTGGAATCCAAGTCACCGTCACCTCACCACATGTCCCTCGGGGAGACGGCGGCGGTAATACTATACGGTGTATGGACTGGCCATCTCCCTCGACGTACTTCGGCAGAGCGTGCACAAGGCTGGGACGAAAGTGTTTCCATGAGCGAATCTTCTTGGCCGCAGACGGTATGGCTAAAATAGTTGCTTCGCAGTCTGGTGGGAGTTGGCGCAAGGTAGCTTCATGGCAGTGGTCTGGCTTGTCTTGGGATATAAGCACGAGGTCGGGTTCGCGGTCAAGGTCTCTCAGGCTCGCGACGGATGGTTTCGCTCTCTGTACAGAATGCGAGAAGACGGAGTTTAGGATGATGGAGGGCCCTGAAAGCCAGGCTGGTCAGGAAACATTAGCACCCATCTACAAGTCGGCCTCCAGCGGTATCAAGCGCGATCTTCAGAGACTTACGGTCAACCAGAATCGTGAACGATCCTGGGAACAATCCCGGCGACGATAGTGGGGCAGCGGGTGGGTCAAAGGTAAGGAGAAAAGAAGTGTCTCCATTCAGCGACTCGACGGAGAGAGCCATACTAGCGAAGAACAAGTGCAAGACAATGTCGGCCACGCGCACGACGGGGTAACGGCAACGTAAGACATGAAGAAAGGGAGGCGAGGCGACAGGCTACGCGCTGCCGTGTCAGTCTGTGATGCCCATGTCAATGATGATTGCGGGCTTGCGCCATCGCCTTGGAACGCTCAGCAGAAGCAATTGTGCTGGAAGGTTGACGCGAGAGGGTAGTCGCAGACGAGCGTGGACGAGAAACAGCAGGTGCAGACGAGGTGCATGTGACGAGTTTAGAAAGCCATAGGTAGCAACACGCTGCTCCTGTCACTCAACAATTTCCACCCCGGCGCGTCAAAAGCTCTTCTTCTCGTGCGTCTTCTTCACTCTCCGTCCCTCTCTTCTCTGACGTTTCCCACTACCCTTCCACCTCACCCCAAGTCTGTTGCCGAAATGTGGTAGATGCAGCTCCCTGCAACCAAGTGCAGCCTTCCTGGACCTGCCGCCGGCCGAAACTGGCTTTAGCTCGGCATCTGAGGAGCAAAAATCTTCATGGCGCCGCAGCCGATGTCCTGGTGAAGAGTCCGAGCAGTAGATCGCATTGGTCAAAATTCTTTGCATGCACGGGACTTGAGCTGGGAGGAGGCTTCTGCGCCGTCTAGCTGATTATGAGTCGTCTTGCTCCCAGCCATCTCTGATTGGAGCGCGCAAATCCCCATTCAAGCGGTAGGTCATTGGGCAGCACGAAGCTCTCCAAGCTATCAGCTTCTTCGCCTCAGCTCCAGGGCAGCCGTCTAATTGCTCCTCCGCTCGAGCTTGTCGTGGCGATACAGTTCTACCCTCACGACAGCGGTGCAGTACCATTGCTTCTTCTTCCACATGGTCAATCGTGATTCCTGAACACAGCCTCTACTTGATCACTTTCTCTCCAAGCCCCGCCGCCGTTCGCAGCTGCCCCGCATCCAGTTACGTCTATCCGCAGTAGCAGCAACTTCAGCTCAGAGCTTCTTCCACCCGCCGTAGTCACCACACCCGCTCCTGCCGTCACTGTAGCCTCCCCCCTCAGCTGCGCAAGCTCGGACTGAGCTTCCCCGTCCCAGCGCCTCGCTTTCCACGTGCCATTGCTTCGTCGCGAAGCTCCTGCCATTGATGCTCGCAGCCATGCCTCCGTCGCGCGCAGCACCGCTGACGAGCTCCTTCTCCGTCAGCGACGAGAACAATGTCGTAGTATGCCCGCTGCGAAACCACGACAGCTCGGCCTGTCGCAAGCGTTGCACCGGGGTAAGTCTCTCCCGCTGCTGCTTCACGTCGCAGCAAGCTCCAAAGCTCCAGAGCTCCGGGGTGCAGACTAACACATGCGTAGGAGAAGCGTTTCCGGTCCATGCAGGAGCACATCCGCCGCGCCCATCCTGAGCATTACATCTCCAAGTTGCCGGCGACTGAGGTAGGCTTGTCCACGGCCGGCGCTGGCCGAATACGCTGCTGACCGTTTCCGCTTGCAGGAGAGCTTCATGCTTATGGTCAACACACCACCGCAAGAAAGACCCCCACCTCCACCTGCGACGACCTCAGCACCGCCCCAGCAGACATACGACTATGGCGGAAGCGAACACAACTCCTTCTTCGAGACCGACTTCGGGACGAATCATCTTCGCACATCGGACGAAATGCGCCGGCCGTCACTCTTACCCGCCGCGACTGCTGCGGCTGCCCTGGCCTCGTTACACAACCATCGTGCCGAGTACGACTGGGACTCAGATCCGGTATGGACCCGCGTTGCACCTTCCCCGCACAAGACCAGGCTAACAACTGCTGTGAACAGGACGCAGCATCCGATCCCGATTCGAAGAACTACAGGCCTCGCGCACGATTCGCTCCGACCACCATAGAACAACACATCAATGCCGAAGAACCTTACTACACTTCTACTTCCATACAGCAAGAGCTGCTCCCCTCCTCCCTCGCACGATCGCCTCCCGGGCGCTCCTCCACTCTCCCTCCTGGCGCTCACTCTCTCAAACCGAACAGACCCCGCAAGTCATCTGTAGGACAGAATGCTCGTAAGGGCAAACACGAGCGGCAGAAGTCCAAGGACTATTCGCGCAGGCTGAGCTACGACAGGAAAGCATACTCGGCTGAGCCGGCAACCGCTGCGGCCATTATGGGTAAACGGTGGGAAGACTTGATTGATGCTGCTGCTTCAGCCACAGAAGAGGATAGCCGAGATCTCACGCCGGTTGGTGTTACATTCTGCTATGCTATTCTATCTAACATGAACAGGTGCCACAGTCGCCAAACCAATCCCCTCACATGATGAACAACAGAACCTCTCTACCTCCCTTCAACTTTGCTTCACAACTTCAGTCATACACGGCATCACCTTTGAATAACGCTCTGACGCCTCCACCTCCGGAAATGTCGGACCTTCAGCCTTTCCCTTCCGTCGAGTCTTCCATTGAATCAGCCATGTCCGGCCAAAACTTCCACATGCATTCCCAAGGTCTCTCCGATTCATCTCCTAGCTCTCTTTTCCCTGTCCAGATCTACTGCGCTGCATGCCGGAAACTGTCGATATTGCGCGACAGCTATGCATGCTCAGAATGCATTTGCGGTCTGTGTCAAGAGTGCGTAGATGTACTTGTCAGTGAGCACAACCGCGGTCGTGCGCCGACGTGTCCGCGGTGCAGCACTATTGGAGCCAAGTTCAAACCCTTCCAGCTGGATATAAGATGAAGCAAGGTTCACTATGGCGTTTTGGGTATTACATCATAATCTGGCGTTTGTTTTTGCGTACCCCATACTTTCCCTTGGCCTCGTGCCTGGTTCCGCTTGCTTCCAATCATTGCTAGCTCCACGAGCCACATGGGCGTTCACATGGTCTGTTTTGGGTGGCTTGTTCGGAAAAGACTGCTCGAAAAGCAAGTCGGAGTTTTGATTTGGATGTTACGAGGGACTCGACCGGGCCTCCTTCCCTCACAAAGAGATCGCAGAGATAGACTCGCCTGCGAATACAATACTCGGGTGTACTTACACCCCCATCGTTTCACTACTCTATGTTTCCACGACCATAGTCCGCTGTTGCACTAGCAGACTTGCGCAATTGTTTCCACGTCCATGTTGACGCAGTGCTCAGTCAGCGTCAACAGGGCTTGCTCAGGGATTTACGTGGGCCCGATTTGGAACCACTTCGGCAGTGTAATAATGCGGTGAAGGAACCATGGTTCATGTTCGCCCGGGTGGATGTCGTACGTCAGGTGTCAGCCGCTCGAAAGGGTGGAGACTCCCGTCATTGCCGGACGCAACACTACTCGGAACGACTGCTTCCCACATGATTCAAGCTCTGAGCGGTCTAGAAGTCCAGAATCCTGGATTACGAAGAACACGAGGGTGGAGATTACGAGCCACCTCAACGTTTGAAAGCGGGAGGTGTTCCATCTGGCGCAGAACGGTATATGTCTATTTTGGCCATTGTCGCTGCAGGGACAAGAGCGATGTGGATAACTGTGTGTGAATGAAAGCGTCGGCCTCGGGAAGCAACGGACGTGGCGCCGTCGTCGCGATGCAAAGGGGTGCCGCGGAGCGGAGCAATGGCCGACTTGTAAGGACGGCCGGGAATGTTTTGTTCTGTATTCCTGCGCTGAGCGCCTTCGATATCCCCCATCATCGATTCTCTCGTTAGACCCGATGTGCGGCGATCCAAAGGGTTGGTGCAAGGAGGGCAGAAGGTTGGCCGGGTGCTGGACTCGTGACGCTCTTTTGGGAGATTGAGTGTGCAGTCATGCGGACGACTGCCTCGACAATGTTTCCTGCTGTCAACTCAACGCCTTTACTGCCAACGTGCTCCAATCACAGCAACCCCAAAGCTTAAAGCCGGCAAAGCACATATGGCGGTGTAGTGCGTCTTCGCCAGCGGAAAAAAGGCCAAGCCCTTCTCCTTTTACCCCGCCGTGCAGCCAATCGATCTACTTGACCGCATCGACACAGCGTATCCTGCGACGGTGAGTCTAAAACGCCAACTGCTTCCGGCGACGCATCGGCGCTGGGCATACACCTAGGCAACGTGTGCGATCAGCGTTGAACGGGAAAAGCTTGGTCTCAACAATCAAGGAAATTATGGAAGAAAAGTAGTCCATGCCTCTTTGCCATGATCGCGCAGAACAAATGCGATCGCCCTGCGCTGCGGGTATGACCTTGCAGCCATGTGATCTCCTTGCAAGCTCAGGAACGAGGTTAATGTGGGATCGGCGATGGCTAGCGCAGGGTCTGGCCTTGCATCGTCAAACCGAGTACCCACATTAATCGACAAAGTCCATAGCATGCCGGTCTAGACGCACACTCGTTTTGTGGTTTGCATGGAACCCGCGGTTTGAAACTACTGCGCCTGTTTATTGACAGTTGGGTTGCTGCGGCTGTGGGAGCGGCGCGGATTGGGTATAGCCCTGCGTGGCGCCCGGCCCCTGACGTGGTATGCTGGGGTGCTGTAGGCTGCTTTGGGATGACTGTTATGCGTCGGGTAGAGGTGTGTGTGTGGTGGGGGAAAGGGTATTTAGTGGTCGCGTGCCTCGCGTTGTTGGTGCTCCTCTCGTTGGGATATTACCGTTTGTCGACACATACCTTTTGCTTCTTTTTTGCCTATCGCATTGCAAATAACACCAGTTACTTGTTCAATTCGATACATGCAAATACTCGAGTCCGCATACTACTACCATTTACCAACCACCTGACACCAAACCCCAATCAACGACAATCGCAACCGAAACACTACGACCAATACTTACAGCAACCGCCCAATATGCCCATCTTCCGTACATTGACGACCAAAATCAAAACCTCGCTCTCTCCATCTTCCTCTCCGGAAACATCACCAGATGGATCGCCCACCTCACCGCAAGTGTCTTCCTTCGAGAGGATCAGCGGGCGCAAAGAAGGCGGTGTGAGTGGAGCGGTCAAGCGACCCGAAGTACAGACCAGAGTCGACTCCTACATGACTCAAGGAAGCAATGCCAGCAACGAGAGTGTAGAGGAGAAGAAGCAGCGCAGGCTGAGTCGGTTCAGGGAAGAGCTAGACTTCGAGGCTGAGGATTGAGTAAAGAGACGTGTGTTCTCAAAGGTATGTTGTCATTCATTGTTCCTAAGATGACATTTGCTAACTTCAAGCCAAGTTTATGCTTCTGAGTCTGCTGCACTATCTGCATTACCGTCACCTTGCACTGGAGTGCCTGTCCTGCTCGCACTCCCACTCTTCGGCGGGCCTCTAGGCGGACCACCAACCTTGGGAGGCGGTGGTATACCAGAGCCTTTCTTGGGCGCATAGTCTTGCTCCAGACTCTTTTGCTCTCCCTCCTTGAAGTAGTCGTCCAAGCCACCGCCCCCACCACTTGCAGGGCTAGCGACATGATGCGCTCTGCCCTTCCTCTTTGGCGGCGGCGCCGTGCCCTGAGGTGGTGGTGACTTTGCCGGTAGCGCCATGTTGGCTGGCACGAACAACTCTGTCGGTGCACCCTGCGTTGGCGCAGTGGGGAAATCAACAGAGCCAGTCAAAGGACGTTTCTCATCAAACGACGTGGCCCCGCTAGCATCGCCTGTGGAGAAGAAGGTCTCGCCAGGCGCTGGCGGCGGCTCGTCCAAGCCCGCTGGAATTCGATGCAAAGCCCCAAAACCCAGCACACACCCTAAGGCTCCCTCACCACCCCAATTGCGCGTCGGCGTGATGGTAACGGAACGAGTCACGTTGTATTCGTGGTTATACACGTACAGCCGCAATGGCCTGTTTAGGAAGTCTTCCACGAGTTCACCTAAGCCAGACTCGCCGCGCACAAGCCCTTCGGGGCTGCCGATGACGTAGTCACCATAGGGTAGCAACCCTGCGGCATCAGCGGGGGAATTGGGAGCCACGTCTAGGATATGCCAGACATCCTCCGCGATGGCCAATGGAGACCACTGCAAGGAGATCCCTAGAGTCGGCTGATCGGCTGGGATTTGCAGATAAACTTCTCGGATCTTTTGGCCCTACATGGTGTCAGACGTGTATAGATAGTTCAATTGAGTGAAGTTAATTGTGACGTTTGTTCTCCCGACCTTCTATGGTTGTACTTCCTTGCAAATGTATAATGTGAGATTGGACAATGACTCATGGCATCTCGAATGTATCGTGGTATGAGAAGGGGTACTTAGAACCTACCTTTGCGCTGAATACACCTAGGCTGATGGTCGCACCAGCACTGTTCCGTACCTCTGTCGCAAAGAGACTTGGGTCTGGATTATCCTGTTCACAGAGTTAGTACAAAGTCAAGGTGGTCTTCTTGTTTCCAGTCCATCCAATCTTGCCTAGGAGCTGACCCCCGCTTCGCCATCGTCTATCTTCTCCCGCTCTTGCATCCCTTTGCTGATATCTTTCAACCGAATGGAAAATACGTACAATGGTTCTTCCATTGATCCCAATAATAAAATCGAACCACGGCTCCAGAGGAACATCTAGATTAGCGTTCCTCAGCACCTGGAAGCCGTATGCGCCATTCGTAGCGGACTGCTGCTCTTCGTTGAGGGGCGCGGCGTCTAGTCGCGATATGAAGCGGTTCAACGCTCCGAACATGGACATGATGAGAGGTGGTGATTCTGATGGTTCCTTCAAAAAGTTGTCGTATGGTGATGACGACAGAGAAGTTGTGTTGGTCGAGGTGTCGTTGTTGGTGACTTGGAGGTTTTGGAAGGTGGCCATAGCTCGGGATCTGCGGTGCGCTAGCTGGGGCAGGTGCAGTGAGGATGGCAATGTGTGGTTAAAGTTGAATCGGAGGTAGTTGTAGTTCAGGATGCGAAATTCGGAACATTATCATCTGTAGTGACCAAATTACATGTACCGCCACGTATAGCACTCACTGTCTGAGTAGGCAGTCGCGTCGGTCGGAACTATTCCTAATCAGGTAAGGCGTATCAGGATTGCTCTCACTCTTCCACAGTATCTGCTCGGTCACCTCATCATCCACACATCTTCTGAAGTCAAGACCCATTACCTGTGGCTTCTCAAATCAGGCTACTCTCACAACTTAGTGCATCGCGCTTGCTGGAGATATGAGTGAGACAGCGGGTGAGAAAGGCGTAGACCAATGGTCGCGTGTCGAACAGTTCCCCGAACATTTGAAGAAGTACAACCCATCTCTACCACTCCCAGAAATTCTTGAATTCTAACAATGTCAGATATTGGCACCAGCGGTTCAAGATATGGGAAAAGTATGACCAAGGCATATGGATGACAGAAGACGCCTGGTTCGGCGTGACACCAGAACCCATCGCGAACAAGATCGCAGCCCACATATCTGAGTCAGCGCCCAAAGACAAAACCGTCATCGTCGACGCATTTGCTGGTGTTGGTGGTAATGCCATAGCACTAGCGCGCTCGGGACGCTGGGAACGCGTGTTTGCTATTGAGAAAGATGCCAAAACGTTGAAGTGTGCAAAGCACAATGCCGAAATATATGGTGTGAGCAATAAGATCTTTTGGCTCAACGCAGATTGCTTTGATGCCATGAGCAGGTTCTCGGGTCAAAGCAATGTCGTTGTGTTCGCTAGTCCACCATGGGGAGGTTTGTCTCTTTTCCACACCATCATTCGAATTAAGCTGATGTGTTTAGGAACTGAGTATGGTGCTGAAGACGTCTTCGACCTCAGTAAGATGGAGCCGTATAACCTCGAAAAGCTTTACAAGAGCTTTACGAGTATCAGCAAAGAGGTTGTTC